GATAGGATCATTTTTAATTAGATATAATCATTTTTATTCTGTTGCTAATTTTATGCATAAAGTTGTTACATTGTAAACTCTATTTAAGTCAATCATATTCAGCTGAAATAAAAATGATTTATTCGGAACAAGTTTTTCCGTCTTTATGGTGTCAGAGCCAAAATGGCCAAACCCTACGATGATACCTCTGGTATCAACTCTATGAGTTCTACTCGCTCACCTCCAATCACCCTAAACACTGAATCCTTCCAAAACATATCCATCACTTCTCACAAGTTGAATGGAAATAATTTCTTACAGTGGTCACAATCTGTGAAACTGTTTATTCGTGGCCGTGGAAAATTCGGCTATCTCTCAGGTACCACTATGAAACCTGCCGAAGAAGATGAAGAATCTGAAAGATGGGAGGCAGAAAACTCGATGATTATGTCTTGGCTCATAAATTCCATGGATCCGAGTGTAGGGAGAACTTATCTCTTCCTACCTACTACTCATGACATTTGGAATGCTGTGAACGAGACCTATTCTGATCTCGGGAACGCAGGACAATGGTTTGAACTAAAAACTCGGTTATGGAGGCTAAAACAAGGAGAAAAAACTGTCACTCAATACTACACTGAACTCAAGACCTTGTGGCAAGAGGTTGACATGTTCAGCGACTACGAATTGAGTTGTGCTAAGGACAGGGCTCTATTCCAGAAGATGGTGGAAAAAGAACGCGTCTTCGAATTCCTTGTCGGCCTTAACAAGGAACTGGATGAAGTCAGAGGGCGCATTCTTGGTCGTGAACCACTACCAAGCACAAGAGAAGTCTTCTCCAAAGTCATACGAGAGGAGAGCCGGCGGACAGTCATGCTTGGAGGCCACTCACCAAATCCCACCGAGTCTTCTGCCTTGTTCACGGGTCAGCCACCACGTCGTAACGATCGTCGGAACGACAGAGATCGGCCAATCTGCGAGCACTGCAACAAGCCGGGACACACTAAAGCCAAGTGTTGGAAGCTACACGGTAAGCCAGCCGAGAATTTTTCAGCCAATCGAAATTCTCGTAATGCAAAAAGATTCCATGCCTCATCTGAAGATGCTTCTGAAGAGCCGAAACCTGCCTCAGAACTGTCTGCCTTCAGAAAAGAACAGCTAGAGCAATTTTATCAACTAATGAGTTCTCATTCCATATCCAACACTCCTAACCCATCATCTATATTGCCTCTTCATCATTAGCCCAGAAAGGTACATATCCTACAGCTTTCATAGCTGATTCTAAATCAAACCCTTGGATCATAGATTCAGGGGCAACATATCACATGACCGGTAATCCCTCCATATTCTCATCTTATTTTTCTTTATCTGGTAATCTGAAGGTAAAAATTACTGATGGCTCCCTAACCTCTATAGCTGGAAAAGGCTCTATCATTATTTCTCCATCTCTCACATTACTAAATGTCCTACATGTCCCAAAGCTCTCTTGCAATCTCATCTCTGTTAATCGTATTATTCATGATTGCAAATGTATTGCTACAATAACATTTGCTGGATTTGAATTTCAGGACCCTTGTTCGGGGAAGATGATTGGCAATGCTAAGGAGGTTGATGGACTCTATCACTTGGTCATGAACAATCCTTCAGATAAACAAGTTCAGAAACCGAGATGCTTTACTACATTGTCTTGTGAGAATGAAATAATGTTGTGGCATTATAGGTTAGGCCATCATAGTTTTAATTACTTGAAATATTTGTTTCCAAATCTTTTCAAAAAAAAAGACGGTTTTTCTTTTCAGTGTGAAGCTTGTGAATTGGCAAAACATCATATATATGTTTATCCATCTTTAAAGTATATGCCATCAAAACCTTTTTCTCTTGTGTATAGTGCTATTTGGGGCCCTTCACGAGTAAAAACAGCCTCATGATCTAGATGGTTCATCACATTCATTGATGATCACACTAGAGTCACGTGGATTTATTTACTAAAAGAAAAATCCGAGGCAGCAAGTGTTTTCAAAAAATTTTACTCACTGATCAATACTCAGTTTCAAGCAAATATTCAAGTTCTTAGAACCGATAATGGTCGAGAATATTTTAATGCAATATTAGGTGATTTTTTGAAACAAAAAGGAATTATTCATCACAGTTCTTGCGTTGATACTCCCAAACAAAATGGAGTTGCTGAAAGAAAAAATAGGCATTTATTAGAGGTGACTAGGGCTTTACTATTTGCTATGAATGTTTCTAATCGTTTTTGGAATGAAGCACTCTTAACAGCGTCTTATTTGATAAATCGAATGCCTACAAGAGTTCTTAATTATATTACTCCTTTGCAAGCTCTAAAGAATATGTTTCCTGAAAATAGATCTTTCACTGATTTAACACCTAAAATTTTTGGTTGCATTGCTTTTGTTCATATACACGGCCAAAATAGAGGAAAACTCGATCCCCGAGCACATAAATGCATATTTCTAGGTTTTTCACCAACACAAAAAGGGTATAAATGCTTTGATCCTAAATCTGGGAAGTATTATGTGAGTATGGATGTCACGTTTTTTGAAAAACAACCTTTTTTGACAAAAACTCTCTTCCGGGGGAGAATGACTCTGAAATAAGTTTTTGGGAACAAACATCCTTGCCAAAATCGGTTGTAAATAGCTCAGTGGAACCAATTCATATTTCCGTAACTAATCCTAGGATTTCATAACCTATAAATTCACAACCTCGTGAGACTCAAGTAGAAACCAACTTGGAACCACCTACTGAACTTCATGTTTATTCTAGACGGATGACTCGACCAAGTAATGTTCCACCGGCCCCCAAGGTATGCCAACCATCGGACTCGACTATGGTCCAAGGTACGACTTCTCTTTCTCCTATTTCTTCTCCAAATTTAGAGCCTTCTACAGAATTCTTTGAACCCATAGCCTTGCGCAAAGGTGTTAGATCATGTACCACAAAACATCCAATATCCAATTTCTTATCTTATAATAAACTCTCTCCAGATTTCAAATCTTTTTCCACCAGGATTATGGATGATGCACTACCTAAGTCGATACATGAAGCTCCAGAAGTTCCGAGATGGAGAGAGGCAGTTTTTGAGGAGTTAAAGGCCCTGAAGAAGAATGACACGTGGGATCTAACTCCTTTACCTGAGGGGAAACGATCTGTAGGCAGCAAGTGGGTGTTCACCATCAAATACCATGCAGATGGCTCGGTCGAGAGATACAAGGCAAGACTCGTAGCACGAGGCTTCACTCAGACATACGGCCTTGACTACAAGGAGACCTTCGCACCTGTGGCCAAACTAAACACCGTACGTGTCCTACTCTCACTAGCCGCCAATCTGGATTGGACTCTCAGACAGTTTGATGTGAAGAATGCGTTCCTAAACGGTGAGCTAGAGGAAGAGGTGTTTATAGAAGTTCCTCCAGGCTTTGATGAATTGAAGAAGGATGGCAGGGTCTGCAAGCTAAATAAATCCATTTATGGATTGAAACAATCTCCGAGAGCCTGGTTCGAGAGATTCACGAGAGCTGTGAAACAACATGGTTACACTCAGGCCCAGTCTGATCATACTATGTTCTACAAACACAATAATGGTAAAATTGCTATTATAATTGTGTATGTAGATGACATTGTTATGACAGGAGATTACACAGTAGAGTTGGAGTCGTTGAAGAACTTCTTATCCAACCAGTTTGAAGTCAAGGATCTAGGACAACTCAAATATTTCCTTGGAATGGAGGTGGCTAGATCCTCAAAAGGTATAATTATCTCGCAAATGAAATATGTCCTCGATATCTTGAAAGAGACCGGATTACTCGGATGTAAACCAGTGGCGACTCCTATTGATCCGAATCAAAAACTCGAAAAAGAAGATGGTGCTGAGCCTGTGGACAATAATCGGTATCAGAAGCTGGTGGGGAAACTGATTTATTTGGCTCATACGAGACCATATATTGCATTTGCTGTGAGCTTGGTTAGTCAGTTTATGCATTGTCCCTCAGAAAAACACTCCAAGGCTGTTTACCGGATTCTTCATTACTTGAAAGGGAATCCTGGTAAAGGAATCATGTTTCGAAGAATGGAAGTCGAAGAGTGGAGATCTTCACTGATGCTGATTGGGGCGGAAGTTCTACAGACAGAAGATTTACTACCGGTTATTGCTCCTTTGTCTGGGGCAACTTAGTTACTTGGAGGAGCAAGAAGCAACCAGTTGTCTCTAGAAGCAGTGCGGAGGCCGAGTTCAGAGCCATGACGCAAGGAGTATGTGAGTTGTTATGGCTTAGGAGGATCTTGGAGGAGCTGAAGGTTGAAGGAGATAAACCGATGAAGTTGTATTGCGACAACAAATCGGCAATCAGTATTGCTCAGAATCATGTACAGCATGACAGGACCAAACATGTCGAAATAGATCGACATTTCATCAAGGAGAGGCTAGAAAATGACGATATCTGCATACCGTTTGTTCCATCATCAGAGCAGCTCGCCGATGTTCTCACCAAGGGACTGTTTACTACGATGTTCGAAGGATTTCTGTCCAAGCTGGGAATGATTGATATCTATTCTTCAGCTTGAGGGGGGTGTCAAGAATATCTAAATTAAATATTAGATAGGATCAGTTTTAATTAGATAGAATCAATTTTTATTCTATTAGTTATTAGATAGGATCATTTTTAATTAGATAGAATCAATTTTTTATTATATTAGTTATTAAATAGGATCATTTTTAATTAGATAGAATCATTTTTATTCTGTTGCTAATTTTATGCATAAAGTTGTTACATTGTAAACTCTATTTAAATCAGCCATATTCAGCAGAAATAAAAACGATTTATTCGGAACAAGTTTTTCCGTCTTTAGTTTAAGAAAGGGTTTGCTAAGAAATAGGCAATTTTAACAAAGCTGCAGCAACCTACCTACATTCAAATGCATTGGTAGACCTGACAAGAAAAACCCTTCACTCAATTTGATTTGAAGAAAATTATCATTTTGTTCATAAAATACATTATAGAACCTAATAAAAAAACCAGTATGTTGGTTTTCCTAGTGTCACAAACAGAACATCAAATGCAAGATATTATGCATCTTTGTAAAGAATTTTGAACGATGACTTGTTACTGGAAGAGAAGATGGTGATTGGGGATGCTCTGCATTCTTTCCCTTATTCTTTCTCCTAAGCTGGAAAAATTGTTGCATCATGTCAGCACACTCCGATGCCAATATCCCCCGTCTGATTCCCATATTTGGGTGGAATGGATGGACTGGGGCTGCCGGCTTGTCTGTCACTTCTGAACCATTTCCTCCTCTTCCGTCAGGGAAAAGTCTACAAAATATAGGGTAATTCCCTCAGAAAAAGTTCCTATTCTGTTTCTTTAGTAGCCCGAATATAAAGACCAAAACCACATGCTATAATCAGCAACATTTTTGTTTTCGCACGCATGTTGTTGCGATTTTCAAACCACGGAAAAGTATAAATTCAAGCTTATAACAGTTGAATCTCACAGTACTACAAAATTCACCGGGACTGTTCTGGGTGAAGAATTTTATTGTCATAACTTGTACCTTATCCAGCTGCCATCTGCTCCTAGAAGGTTATTGGGAGCTCCCCACACAACAGTGTCAATTCTTGCCTGAAGTATTGCTCCAGCACACATAGGACATGGTTCAAGTGTAACATAAAGTGTTGTATCCTACAGGGGTAAAAGATTCAATCACTAAATGGATTGAATATAGAACCATTAAAAAGGGGGGGGGGGGGGGAAGAAAAGATATTTGTTCTGATATTACAACAACTGGAGCTGAAGCATGAACTTTGTCATCGAACAGATAGATTGCTAGAATTTTTAGTGAAATTATATTCCCATATCAGGCATGATACATCATCATCATTTGGTTATATATGGTGGCAGGTAGATTACCAAGTTCATCAAACTTCCAGCAATAACAACAAAGCTAACCTTTAGACAAATAAGTCCATTGCAAGTCAGAAAATGGCATTGACAGTTATTGCTATTCAAGAGCAATGAGAAGGCCCAAGCATTTTGCTGGGGGGCATTTCTCATTTGTTAATGAACCATATTTGGACATTTAACCCTTATTATCAGAGAAATTTAGGTGCACATATCCTTCACAGGTTTTCTCAGCAAACTGCCTGGTTAGCAGTGAAACTAGAATTACTGAGGAACTGCATCTTTAGATGCTTTGACATCCCTCCCCATCAAAAAGTTAATACACTTCAGAACTGAAAAGAAGAAATAATACCGCAAGCCTCCATGAACGAAGTATGTTCGAAGCTTCCCGTATACAGATCATTTCTGCATGTGCAGTTGAATCCCGTAATTCCTCTACCCTGAAATAAAATCATCAATAAAAAATGTTAAGAAATAATAAACAATCAAATGAAAAGCAAGTCAGTTTATTGAACTCACAAGTTGCGTCCACGAGCAATTATCTTCCCATGCTGCACTAGTACTGCCCCAACAGGCACCTCCCAAGAATCAGCAGCTTTCTTGGCTTCCAGCAATGCTTCTCTCATAAACATTTCATCAATTTTTCGCTGCTCACGCTCAAGTCTATATGCTTCTTCCCATTCATCAAATCTATCTCTTGGAACTTGTTTGGTCCGTTGAAGCTTTCTTTGTTTTAATTCCCCCTCCTTATCCTGAGACCTTGACGCTTTAGCTATTCTTGCACCGAAAGGTTGTTCCATTGTCCTTATTGAACCACTTCCCTGGGTATTAATTTTATCAGTTTCTGAAATCTCTTCTAGAACAAGAGATGTTTTTGTGCTTCCAGTTGGTAGCGGTAAAGATGATTGTACTACCTCCTTGCCTGAAGGGGCTACCTCAGAGCTACTAATGCCATGTTTTTCCTTATGTGAGGTCAATGAAATAACTTCTAATGCAGGCACAGTTTCTAATATATTTGAAGATGGTGAAATGTTGCCTTCAAGGTGTCCTACTTTTTCAGTTGTCCTTGTTGAGTCAGAGAAATCTCCTTCACCTTGAGTCCCTTGTCCCAACCGATGATGAGATATGACCTCTGAAGCCAGGTTGCTTCTTTCCCTTCTCAGATTTTCTTCAGTGTTTTCATTTGTTTCATGACCAGAAAACCATGCCTCGCTATGAACCGACTCATTAGGTGAAGTCCTTCCTCCGGATCTTGCAGTTGATCTTGAGCTAGGGGTCTGAGCACGTAAACTCCATCGTAATCGAACTATATCTCCCATAAGGGTCCACAAGGACCTGCCACTTCTCTTTATGGAAGCATTCCCTGACGTAGAAATTCCCTGAGGAGTTTCTGCTTCAAGCGATTCCTGAAAAGATGGGTCAGTTACATCCCACATTTCATCATCAGGTCCCCTTCCTCCAGAGCCCTTCGGTGACTGCCTCGTGTCATGCCTTTTCATCTTTGATTCTTCCTTGCGATATTGACCAGAAGCGTTCGGCCCATACTTATCACCTTCACATGCTGAAGTGAAGTCAGAACTTATATTACCCTGTTGGACCCCAGAAGTTAAGATATCATGCCTTGCCTTCTCAACAAACTCCCCAACAAAATGCGAGGATGATTCCTCTAATCGTTGAGCAGAATCCAGAGAATCTTCATGGGTAGTCCAGTTTAAAGATTCCCCATAAGTCTCACTCTTTTTTCTTGCATATGGTTTGTGGTGTGCAAATATAGTCCTTCCTCTTGAATGCATGTGTGAGGTGGCAGAGCCACTTTCTGAAGCTTTACCGGAAGCCTCCTCAGTAAAAATCCTAGTCATTGAATCATCATGCGGGAGACCTCCAGTTATCGCTTGAGGACGAGGAGGCATCAAAACATACTCCGTGCTCCTCTTTTCTGATTCCTCTAAATCAACATGAGACCGTTGTTCTCGTGTTTCTGAAACCAAACTCAAAGATGCTTGAAAACTAGAGCCCTCCTCAGCTTGTCCGCAAGAACTTGATACACTAGTAGGTTTCAAGTTCTCTTTTCTTGCTTTCTTTTGCTGAACTCTACCATTGGCTTCATTATGTATTTCACTTCTCTCATTAATCCGACCCAAACCCGAAGTGTTACTTTCATGTCCAATCAATCTTTCTCCAGAACTTGTTTGAGTATTGGTAACTATCTTAGTGTTGTCAGCATGAACAACAGATATATTTGTAATAGCTTGCATTCCTTTACCGGTCTCAACTCTCTGATGTAGTTTCTGATCAGAAGTGAAATGTAAACTTGAAGTATCATCCTGTTTCATATTTTGGGTTCCGGATTGTAATATTGAGGTCTTCTTGTTCTTGGCTTCATTAATTTCACTGGAGCATTCCGACCTTCTTCTCATTTCCAGTTGTCCGGTGACCCTTTCACCTCTTTGCTGATGTTGGTTTCTTGTCTGCTGAAATGAAGTCTGAGTCATGGTGGTATCTTCTTCCCATATCTTCATTTTCGATCCTGATCGTCTCTCAACTAGATTCCTGTCTTCTTCCTCAATCTTCATTCTAGATTCAGACTGACACTGCAAAGTAGAAATTCTTTCAGCACTGTCTCCGATTTCTGACACACTCACATTTTCTTCCCTTCCTGGGAATTGCTTCTCTTGGGAAGTTGAGCCGACATCACTAACATGGATCTTTGACATTTCTCTAACGTCCTGGCTTTTTCTTCTAGATTCGGACTGCCCAATAACTTGATTATTTGTACGAGTATGCTGAGAACTAGATCTTTTCACATAGTCACTTTGATCATTCTTCACCCTTCTTGCATATTCTTGTGAGGATTTTACCCCAGATTGTATTTCGTCAGCGGATACTTCAGCAAGCTTCTTCTCTGATTTTTTTCTCAAATCCCAATCAACACTAACACCCCCTGCATTGTCCCTCTTCAAGCCTTCTGTCACTTGTCCCTCACTTCGACCAGTCTCATCTCTTATTGATTCTGTTACAAATTGACCTTGGTCTGAGAGTCCAGTATCACTCTCCAAGTCCCCTGAAGATGACAATGAGTAATAAGATGAACAACTAGAACTCTTTGTTCTTCCCCTACGATGCTCAGCTATCAAGGATGACTCACTCTCTGCCTTCCTTCTAATCTCTCCCCTTGACTCAACGTCAATGGACTCATATTCATCCTTACAATCACTCTCCAACAGACCCGACCCGACAGTTCGAGTCTTCTCTCTATAACATTCGTTGGCACGGCTCCCTCTCTCGTCCAATTGCAATTCTTGCTTCTCTTCATTAGTGCATTCATTACCACAGCTTGTTTTGTTGTCCACTTGTTTACTTTTCTTCTTCAGGCTATAGCACTCACTACCATAACCCTTTGCTTTATTCACTTCCCTTATCTTGTATGAACTCCTATTTATTTCTCCAGTACCTAAACACTCCCCATCCGCTTCCTCACTCAATAAGCTGATCATGGCCTCGGCGGCATCGACTCCACCTAACAAATACCTAGAGCTAGCTGCATTATCCTCTGAAACCATACATCTAAACCTCCCTTTAGTTTTCCTAGCAAACATACTACCCGTAGAAACCTCGAAAGTGGCTCGATCAAGATCACAGCTCGGAAACCGCAAAAGGCAGCGGTATCCAGCAGGTAAAATGAACCTCCTAGAAGGTGAGCAATGAACAAGGGCAGATTGCTTTGATCCGTACAAAAAGCAAAGGGTACTGGGTAGCCTATGGGTGGTAGTGGCAAATGTAGCGCAGCAACAAGCACAAGATGAGCAACATGAAGAAAAACACGGTGATGACGATAATGGTGATGAATTGAAAACGTTGGAAGAACAATCGTTGAATGAAAATGAAATAGACCCATTACTCCTGAGTGAGAACGCACTTGAACTAATACTGCAAGAGTTGTACATGTTTGTTCGATATTAAGGTCGGGCTTTGAAGTTTTACCTTGGAGGAAGTGGTGAATTGTTTGGATCTGCTGGAGCTCGGACTAAATCTGCACCCATTTCAGGCATGTGGAGGTCAGATTCTCCTCATCACTTATAACATGGGAAAAAACGGCACTTCTGTTGGACTAAAAAGATTGATGGATCAGGATAGAGTGAAAAAGGGGGGGGATCGTTGAGTTGACGCGTTTGTTTTGGCCAAACTCGGTAGACTCGGTTGAGATCTGCATTGTAATTGTAATAACTTTATTGGTCCAATTGCGGTTTTATTCGTATACTATACTAAAATTTGGGATTTAAACCCTTTAATTTCATACATGATCTTACAAGAATTTTTTAATTACAATATCTAAGCAACGTGTCAATGTATATTTAGGATAAACTACAAAAATAACCACTAAAATTTGAGTAAGGTTTAGTTTTTCTACTAAAGTTTCAAAAATAATAATTTATTCATTGATATTATCAATTTATAAAAAATTGATCATTGACGTTATCGATTTATAGTAAATCGGGCATTCTCTGTTAAGAGTCGTTAATGTGAGTCACATAATACTTATGTGACATGTTAAATTGATTTGTTTAGCACCATTTTACCAACAAAATTTAATCAATTTTTTTTACTCATTCATACTTATTTTACATTTGCATTTTCTCTCTCTTTCTCCCAACATTAGAGATAAAACTAAGCTTCCATGCAAAGAGAAACTTCACTGTGAGGAATGCAGAGAGATGAGCCCGTCTTCATCACCTTTTCAATCTTTGCGTGCCCTTTCGACGAGTACTTCTCAAAGCTTAAGCAAAAGGGTGTAGGATGAGTGAAGACGGGGGGCTTTCTGGGTCTAGTGCAGCTTGAAATTAAGAGGAACAAAGCTGGTTTTGGCTTCCATCTTCTCTTTTCCAGATCCAAAAAATTAGCATATACGGTTCAAATTAATAGGAAACATAGAGGAGCTGAATGGTGTTGATTGCATTGTTTTTAAACATGAGTTTAGCACTTTATGGCAAATGAGTTTAGCCTCCTATGAATTGTTTTTAAGTTATACCCGAGCATGTTCCTCGTGAAATAAGCAAATTATCGAAAATACATGAAAACGAAGTAATAAATCGGACAACGATCTCAAATAGATGAAGGTTTTGTTTGGGAAGGATGAAAGTACCTCCGTTAAAGCATTTGATGGTCCCAATAAGGGCCTTGGCTTATCCTATCTGAATGTAGGAAACAAAAGAAGATAAACCGCTTTGCCAGAACTCGCATAAACTCCGAGCCGCCGGACACGCGCGGTGTTCACTTGTGCCCTCTCAAGCATTGCTTAAAGCCAAGACAACCCAGATGATCATATGTGGCAACAAACAATAAGCATCGACAGCCTAAGACTAGTTGGAAGCATTGCACCCATGCATAACTTTCAAATGACAACTACCGATAAAAGCTTACATTTTCAAGAAAAATCCTACATGAACAGATCCATAAAGAAAACCTAAGAAACCTGTAATAAGGGAGAATGAACAGTCATTAAACGCAATACAAGTTACATTGGTTTTGATGCATGCATAATTTAGTGACTTATATCTCGAAGCTAAAATAGCAAGTCTATTTATCCTTCACAACTACGATGCTGTCCTGTCCCACAAGGCTTGTAAGAGATCACAAGCTCAGTCAAATCCTTTTCCCTTCCATGAAAGTAAAGTTCATCGACATCAGCAATTATTTCTTCTCGGTAAAGAAGTCCCCTTCTTATTTCATGGTAGAGCGTTTCATCTCTAGATATAGCTTGCGATGGAAAAGATAATATGGAAGCAAAAAACCAGCTTTTTCCTCTTAATTTCAAGCTGCACTATACCCTTTTGCCTACACCCAGAAAGTTTTGATTTAGATTTGATGAGTTGTTGATAAATCAATTTATTGTCTTACTAAGATAATTTCATTTCGACCAAACCACTTTCATTGTGATTTGTGAATGTATTGTTGTAATGTTTTGATTGTTGTTATGTCGAATTGGAAGGATTAACTTGTCAACATAATAAAGGGATTAAAATCAGAATAAGACCTTGTTTTTTTAAGTGTAAAACAACTCTTTGTCTCTATGGGCTGTGGACTCAGTGGGCTGGTTGCATCTTAATCTAACCTGAACCAGTTCTGGGTTAGTAACTGCAGTGACGGACATAGTAGGCTCTAATGTTAATGGCCTTAGCATTTCTGTTCCTCCTCCCACTCCAAAATCTTTAATCGAACCGTATAATTCAGGATCAGGCCTTGCTTGGAACTTGGAATAAGGATTCTCGAATATCGCAATCCACCTCAGGATTTTATTATTTTCTTTATTACGATATTCTTGTTCGTGTGCTGTGCATGCTCTTATTTGGATTTTTCATCAAAACGAGTCTGTCATTTGTCGTTTTCACGTATAAATTAAAGTTCAAAAGGATGCTTCTTGCCGGCAGTTAGGTGGGAGAGAAGGATAAATTAGTCAATTACACTAATATAGTATAACCTCTTCTAGAATATTAACAATATTTCATTTATTTTATATAAATATGAGATGAATATAATATAATATTTGTTTAAAGACGGTCAACCCTTTAATGATAAACAGTTATACCTTTAACATATACAGTATTTAAATTTGAGACTTTAAAAGATATCAACACGTCTTTTAATTACTAAGATGACTTGATAAGTGATAGCAATAATTCATTTGGATACAAAGCTTCCCATTTGATTTGATGAAATATTTTGTTAGTTTGTACAACACTTGGTAAAATTTATTAGATTATGTTAAATAGTAAATATATCATGGTGTATTCAATAATTAATTTTATGAGTTTTAATAAATTAAAAATAATTTACTCGAATATGATAACATTACAGAATGGTTTCAGTATAAGTATTTACTATAAATTATAAATTACAATGTTTATCGCCTGTGTATCCATATGTTAGTTGGGTTTTACCATATTATTAAAGGAAACTATATATTTAATCGCTCAATATTCAGTGTGTTGTTATTTTGGTTATTTTACTTTCAGAATTTTTAATGTTGTCATTAATTTTTAAAATTTTACTCTTTCAAGTCACTTGAGCATATGAATGTCAATAAGTGCACATAGAATGGGTTTATCAATTGTGGGGTGGTAAGAATAGATATACTATGATATCCTATTAATTGAGAAACATTTAAAGTTCATGAAAAAGTAAAGGAAAAAGATTAGAAGGAAGAAGGAAAGAAAAAAAGGATAAAGTACATGTTTAGTACCCAAATTATTACTTTTGTTTCGTTTTAGTACCTAAATTTTATTTTTAAAACCATACATAACACTTAGTTTAAGTTTCATTTTGGTAGCAATAATTAAAAACTTAACATATGTTAACATGTCACCATTAGATAAGGTCACGTCATCATTGAAAAAAATTAATAAGTGTTACATCAGCAATTTTGTTAATTTTTTTTAACGACGGGATATCAAACTGAAACTTAAACTAAAAGTTAGGGGTGGTTTTAAAAAATAAAATTTAGGTGCCAAAACAGAACAAAAATAATAGTCTATGTACTAAACTTGTAGTTTAAAGAAATCTGCTAACAGTACACCAAACATTTATTTTAATGAACAAATACTTGGTGGTATTAGACCAATCAATTTGCCAACTCCCCCAAAATGATGCTACATAAGATCCTAGAGTATTCTATTATTTATATTATGGTCCTGGGTCAACTGCTGCTCCATATATACACATGTATATTAAAATCAAAGCACGATGGAGAAAGCCAGATCGCAATTGCTCTTAGTCTTATACTTGGACAACGCATGGAAGTCAACTAATGCAACTCCTATTATATTTATTTATAATCACACACTGAAAATTTTATATATTTATGGTTTGATTATTGGAAAGAATAATATGAAGTTGGGCTTGGTTTGGTCTTGAAAGGCAGCCATGTTTAGATCATAGACGCTCTATAAGTAGGGGTGTACAAAATTACCCGACCCGGTTGATCCGACCCGCCGATCCGGATCTAAAAAAATCGGGTAATTCTCTAAAAAATAATTACCCGGCCCGACATTTCCCGGGTCGGGCCCGGGTCACAAAATCTAGTTTTTCAGGGTACCCGGTTACCCGAGTACCCGGTTAGTTTTTTTATTTTTTTATATAAAATATAATGAATTATTTATATTATGAATTATTATATTTTGTATTTTGAACTTTAAAATTTTATGTTCGGATATTATAATATGTAATTCGAAGTTTCGAACATTTAAATTTGTGTATATATTTTTTAAAATTAATAATTTGAAAATAAAAAATTAAAAACCGGATATCGGGTACCCGATTACCGGATACCCGCAAAATCCGGGTACCCGATTACCGGGTACCCGTAACATCCAGGTCGGGACACTAGCCGAGAAATCGTCGACCCGGAAATTCCGGGTACCCGAAAATCCGGGTACCCGGATTTGCACACCCCTATCTATAAGTACAAACGTTGTTAGAATCTATGTTAAACCCCTTTGGCAGAAATTGATTCTTGACTTTTACCCTTTCCACTCTCATTCTTTATACTGCAATACAATCGTAAAATAAAGAACATCAAGGTTTAATGTGAAAATCTCATTTCGAGAGAAAATCACGGACATAAGAGGAGGAAGTTCACTATGTTGAAAAAGATGCAAGAGTATTTGCGTCTAAACGAGATTTGAGATTTAATCAACTTGCTTATAAATCTTAATCCATATTATCTATTTATATATTTATATTGTATGCATAAATATAATGTACATTATAATATATATATATATACATGCATCATATTATCATAACATTCATCATACATTATGTTATAATTGTTTTAATTTTTTCTTCAACTTTTGAAATGAATGCAATTCAATCCATAACATTCATCATACATTATATTTCTATAACATAATGTACATTATATATACATATATGATGTATCATAACATTGATTATACATATAATATATATATATATATATATATATATATTATATATTATAGTATTTTTCAATTTGATCATTGCATGTTGTTTAATTTATTTAAATTATAGTTTGTAATTTCATGTTTAATCAATTTAATTCTTCAAATTATATTATAAAATCTTAAATTTTATAAACTTTTTTTTAACTTTTTAAATAAAAGCAATTCAGTCCATTTTTA